ACCTTGGCCCCGTATGCCGACAAAGTGTTGCCCAGCTGCTCCTTGGCGGTTGGCAACCCTTCTGGGTTCTGGAAGGCGCGCGTTCCGCCATTCTGCAAGCACCAATCACAAAAGGTGGTGCACGGGCTTGCGATCCATTGCACATTGGACTCCTTTGCGCGTAGGCGACCAAGGAAATGTTCTTGCCGTAACGGGTCCGCCAAGTCGTGCTCTGGTCGAGGTCCAAGCTGCTGGTGCGGCTGTGCATACAGCTCGATGGGCTCCAGGGCCGTTTGGTTAGCAGCCCGCCATCCTTTGGTGATGACCCCATGACCTGCAAAGTACTCCTGAAGGACGAGACCCTTCTGGCCCTTGACTTCATGTAGGGGCCGGATGACTTGGCCGCCGCCCGCGAAGACTTGAGAGAGGGCTGGTAGACATGTTGTCTTCCTCAGACACCCCATCGGTACCGGTTCCTCCATGCCTCCTCCTTTCCGAGTTCGGCAGTGACGGCATGAAATGATTCCCGGGGCTGTCTTGGCTTGATCGTGCCGTTGATGCCAAAAATATCGGAAGCCCAAGCAAGGGGTGTTGTACACCTCTTCCTTTCCCAACAGAACCTTGCCTGCCTCCGGCGAAGGTGGCTGAAGGAGCGTCATGTGGCCCTTTGAAATCATCACCCAGATGTCCGACTGAGTCCACTGGTTGCCTGTGACCGTCTCGATCAACAGGTCCCCTTTGTAGTCAACCCTCACCACAATGACCCTCATCTCCTCCAGCGCTGCAAGCGGGAAGACGGCTAAGGCCCTGTAGTCCTTGTCGTGGTGGGGTTTCAGGATGTCATGAGCGTACATCCGCAACTCGTGCTCTACCGGCGCCACCTTGGCCTCTGAGTGGCCCATGACGCCTTCGGCTTCCACAGCCAGTCTGGCCTGTTCCAACTGGAATTCCTGTGTCCCTTTCTCTACCTCCTCCATGGTTGGGACCTTTCCTTGCTGGGCCAGATGCAAGCCAGCCGCTAAAACCTTCGTTACACACTGCCTCTTCTCATTCTCCGGCTCGATCACCCCCAACAAGCCCGCCAGCTCCTCTGTCGTGTAGACCATCTCGCCAAAGTCCCACAACGCCCAAGGTTCCCCGTCGATGTGGACCAAAGCTCGCCCCGGGCCTTCGTCCTCCCACCGGGTGTCCCCCAGCTGGCACCGTGCCTGATGGCCCGCCTTGGGCCCTTGTCCATGGGCCTCCAGCAAAGACGCGGCCTCTGCCGCCAACTCCCCCAAGCCATACTGGACCATCTCCTCCAAGAGGGTTTCGAAGGAAATTGCCGGGTCATTGGCCACCCTGGTGGATGCCCAAGCGTACAGATCATCGGAAGCCTCCTGCAGCTTGCCCAACACCGGTCCAGTGGCCAGAGCTTGAGCTTTTCTCACCATGTCCTGTGCCTCCGCAGGGGCTGAGGATCCCTGCCGGCCGGCGTGCGGGCGGGCGTCCTTTGGGACGTGGTCGAAGATTGTGTCATCCGGACCGGCCACCAAGTCGGCGAAGTCCTTCTCCTGGCGCGTGTAGTCGACCTGGATCATCTCCTCTGGCGCCTCCCAATGCACCCGCCCTCCTGCCTTTTCGGGACCTTCTGGATCTCCCTCTTTGGCTCCTTCTCCTTGCCCCGCTCTCCGGCGGTCTTTGCCATCCTGCACCTTAGCGGCTTTATCCTTGGCCACTCCGGCCCGGATCTCTTTGATTTTCTCGGCCGCGGTGTCTTTCGTCTCCGCCTTCATCCTCCTCAGGCCTCCTCTCCGAAGCATCTGAAGTTGCACCGCGGGGTCAAGAGCTTCAAAGGGTCCTCGAAGTGGTTCATGTGCTCTTTGACAGCCTTGTTGCGAACAGCCCAGGTGGGTCAAGTAGCCCCAACACAGCAATTTTCCGTCCTTGTTTGTGGGCGCCCGTTCCTTGGCCTTCGCTGTCTCCTCGGCAGTGAGCTTGGGCCCAAACAAGGTCTTTAAGGTCAACTTCTCGTCTCGATGTCCTCCGTCTCCTCCTGCTGACTGACCTTGGGCCCTGCTTTTTCCTGCTCCTTCCCAGGTCATCTTCCATAGCATCCTTTCTTGGCGTCTCTCAATCCTGGGCATCACCTCTGACATGAACCATCCTTCTGGCCTTCTCAGATCAAAGGTCTGTGGCAGGTTCAAAGGAGGACGTCCCTCTTCATCTGGCATAAGGGCGTAGAACTTCAGGTCCTGTAACGTCATGGACTCTCGACCTGAAAGCCGTTTAATCTTCCTCAGCTCTTCCTTCAGCTCTTCGAGAAATCTCCAGTGCAGTTCCTCCCACACGTCCAGCAACACCTGTAGGGGCCACTTGTGAGGGGCGCTGACATGCCACTCTCCCAACAAGTTGATGGCGTGCTCCCGGACTGCTTTCCATTCCATGCCGTACACGAGTGCCCAAATGTCATTCTGGCGTTTCACCCGGTTGAGCCAGTCCTCATAGCGGGTAGGGGCCGTTGGCCTCTGCTCATTGATGGGCTTGCCCGTCCTGCTCTCGATGGCAAACTGGTCCAACTCTGCGTCCGTGCAAGGAACGAAGTCGGAGGCGCTCAAGGCGTACTTCTCCTGCGTGCCCCAGTAAGGTCCTGCAATCCCGATGGCCAGCCTGGAGGTGATCTTTTGGCGGAACCCAGCACTTCGCAACTTCGTTGACGACCCTGCCTGGGCGGCCAGAAGTGCTTGAGCGAGAGGTGCTCCGTACTCAACATCGCCGACTCGTACGGTGTACTCACCGCATGCACGCAGCAAAAATACCAGTTCTTCAGAAGATTTGCCCAAACCTTTCAAGGAGCCGCCAGTGCCTGTAGTGGTCTCCTGCTGGGCTTTGACCAACGTAGCCAATTCGTTGGTTTGTTGCTGGATCGCTTTGGCGATGTCGGTCATCTCGGAGTGACTGCCTTGCCCTTCTGGCCCGGTTCCGGCCTTCCGATCTGGGTCATAAATTCCCGGTGGAGGTACGGATGCCAACCTCCGTTTGGGGGGCGTCTCAGCCATGCCTGGGCTCACGGCAGACTTCGTTCCTGATGCCAAGCTGGATGGTGTAGGGGTCATTCCTTCTCGCTCCTTGTCGACCACGCTCCATTCCGACATAGAAGAAGGGCGGTCTTGAGCTGCCGCCTGTTGACGCCACTTGGCCAGGAACTTGGTCAGACCCTTCGCGCCCTTCCTCTGTTCTTCCGTAGCCTGTTCATACAGGTGCCTTGTAAGGTCGCCCACCGTCATCCCGGCTTGAGCTGCTAACTGCTTCCTGATGTCCTCTTCACTGAGCTGCAACTCTCGACCATCCACCATTTGCTCCATGAACTCCTCCAGGTAGGTCATGTCGCCTCGACGGTCCGGGGAGTTGATCATACCCATTCGTGCCAAACTGTGTTGAACCGAGGACTTAGGTGTATGCCCTGGCGATGAGACTCTTCTTCTGCGGAGTGCCGGAGTTTCTTCCTCCTTCTCGTCTCGCACTTCCCGAAGGAAAGATTCAGCCTCATCCACCTGGTAGGAGACCTCGCGTCCTCTCCCACGGCGCTTCACCCGGTCGTCACCTTCTCCTTCTCCCCGTTCATCTCCTTCACCTTCTCCCGGGGGTGGGTCCCTTACCCTCGATCTCGACCGTGAGGACCGCCGCGAGGATGTCGACGCCTGTTCCTGGTGGAACCCACATAGACGTAGACCCTGCTTCGTTACCATTCCTAGTTTCTGGCAGCCTCCGTAGGAACACTTCATGACCGCTCTCGATGTCAGGTAACGGACCGCGTGAGCAGGGCAGAGGGTGTTCGGTTGGTCCGCGGGAAGGTTCTCACGATCCTCCTCCAGCATTTCGACCTCCGTGGCTCCGAGATTCCTGCATGGATGGTCGCTGAGGCAGGATCTGCCCATCTCACCTTCCCACTTCACCCAGTGGGCGCAGCATCCCCCTGCTTCCTCCTTTTCCGACTCGGACGCATAGTCCTGAAGCCTCTTCGCCGTCTTGCTGGCCTTGGAGAAGAGCCATCCCATCGTCTTCATGCCGGTCCTCTGAGCTCCCGAGGCTGTTGAAAGGAGGTGGAAACGTTCGGGATTGAGCTGTCGTGCCAACGCGTAGCTCTTGAAGTGTTGACCCTCCTCCGGACACGTATCGTGCCTGCACAGGTGCACCCGGTCGTAACCCTTCAAGGCAAGCAGAAGCTGAGCATCTCCCCTGGTCGCCTCCGGGTCGAAATTCAGGTAGATGCCGCTGGACTTGATCGCCGCATTCTCGGTGACCTTGATGATGACCACATAGCCATCCCTCCGCAAAAGGACCCATCGATCCTCATTGGCCCCCTTTTTCATCTTACGAAGGTCAGCCGTCTCCGGGATCTCTCCAGTGTCTGGGCCAATGAAGGTCGCTCCCATCGCTTCGGGTACACCCCCGGCCATCCGCTGGGTGTAAAAGGCGACCCGCCCGCAGCATCGCACCAGGGCCCGAACCACCCACACCACCGTCAGGAGGGTTCCGATAGCCAAGGAGCACAGCGGCCAGGCCAAGGAGAGAAAGTAGCGGAGCACGATGCAAATCACCATCAAAAAGGCCACCCGTAGGAGCAGAGAGCAACCGGTCCTGACACTGGCCCAGCTCTGCCCGAAGACCATCCAGCCTGCCCCGGACAGCAACGTGTCCAGGATGGTCCATGCCAGGCTGTCCCAAGTCGTCCACGTGGCATACCGCGCCTGGGCAGCGGCCATCGTGGAGTTCACCCGCTGCTGGAGGCACAGGAAAGGCTCCTCCCAGCAGGTAGCGTTGGGTGGCGCAGGCTCGGCATCCCCTGGAGCCTGCCACCACCCATCGCTAGGGCCCGTGGCCCACCAAAGGCCGAGGGCCAGCCATCGCCACCGCATCATGGCGCCAGCCCCCGAACAAAAAACCTGGGCCACTGAGGCCAAAGGCTGCGACCGAACGTCAAGCGTCACGCTCAAAGTATCGGTTGTGAAAACCTCCAATTACAAAAAAAACAAAAGAGCAGCGCAGTCCAAGCGGCGCTTTCGTAACCTTCAAGGCCGCACCCCAGTTGATCTCGTTTGGCCAATCTCCTGCAGCTTTCGTGGAAGCAGTGTGTCTTGGCAACCGATCTTTGAGGAGCCGATGTCAACACAAGATTGTAACCTGTGACTGTGTGAGACAAAGCTTACATTTTAGTGCAATAAAGTGTCACCCTCCCCCAAGACAAATCTCGTAGCCTCAAAATTGGCATGCCCAAAGTTAGCCGCCAGCTTGCTCAAGCTATTGCTTTCCTTTCAGCCCCTTCTCTGCTTCTTCCAAGAGTTCTAGCTGTTTGGGGATCAGATGTCGGCCTTTTGGGCTTACCCTGGTGCATCAGCAGACCTTCCAAGCGCATGATGTTGAGGAAGCTGGTTGCCAGGTCCCAGCGGCCACCCTGATGGGAACACCGGTCATATATATATATATGTCATTGACATGTGCAGCACATGGAAATGTAGACTGCTAGGCAAAGCACAGACCACCTCGGCCTCGGGAAAGAGGTGGCCATAGCATTTGCAAAGCATGTTATCTTTGCCCACCTGTTCTGTTGCTGCAATTGCACTGGAATAGCTCACTCTGTTGGGGCGAACCTGTGAATCTCTCCTCAGTGCCGGGGTGATGAGTGCGAGCGTTGCAGCCCCAAAAGGTCAAACACTACCTAGGCGGCTACAGTAGGTGGTAGTGAATAGGTAAAGCCACCCATTCCTTCTACTTTGTGCCGGGCATCATCATTTGCAATAAACCAAGAACTGTCTGCCAGTGGCCAGCATGTTTACAGGCCTGGGCTGCAGAAAGAGCGGAAAGACGCCAAACGAAAAACATGCCCACCTCATGATTACCTTGCCCTAAAAGAGCTGCAACCGGACGGCATACATGGCGACATTGAAGACCACGGCATCCCTCTTTGCCTTTGTGGAAGACATCAAGTCGAAGAGCAGAAACACCATCTGCCATTGACCTGTGCGTGAACAAGCCACAGTCTTGAAACTGCTGGCTGCGGGCCCTCCTTGATTCCAAGCAAGAAAGCCGTCACCCCCTGGAGTCTCCCGCCTTCACTCTGGCAGGCACTCATAGCTGCGCTGTGCGTGGCAGTGTTGGGCTGCCTGGATATCAAGGTCTCAAGTGCGAGGAGGTTTACTTATGAATGGAAGAAATAGAAAAGAATGGAAGTTGCTGGACACTTGACCTGTTCCAAACAAGTCTCCTGACCGTTTCACCGGAAGAGCTGGCCTTTTCAACATCATTTCCCAGAAGAGCAATAAGCAGTATTGCCATTGGTTTGCCACATGGCACGCACTGATGCAGGCATTTTGCCCATTAACGCTGCACTCCCCAAGCTCTTCCTGAGAACATCAGGGATAGCCACTCAGCCAAAAAAACTTGCAAACAGAAACATCAACCTCAGAAATATTGGAAGCCGTCGATCTCTCCCAAACGCGGGCGAGAGACCGACATCTGCTCCAGCAATCTCAGGGCCAGTTGCCAATTCTTACCTACACGTGGGCAACCCAATTTGTTCAATTAAACGCTACCACATGGTTGAATCCATTTGGAAGTTGGCTGATGCTGCAGACCATCAACAGTAGGTCCCTGCCTTGCTTGCAGGCGTGAATCGCAGCATTGAAACCTGACTATCTGTATGACACGCTTGCACCACCAATTAGTCCAGCTCTTGCAAACGTCTTCGCATGATAAATCTGCGTGCAAGCAGCTGATGACATCCCGCTGAGGTGTTTCCTCGAAAAGGCAAATTGACCACGGCCAGGCCAATCCCTTTGCACATACGCTGATGGCAGAGTTGTAGCTAAAAGTATCTGGCCTGGGCCAAAGCGGAGCCTACCACAACAGCCAAAAAAGCGGATCTGTGGGAACTGCTGCGCGTGGCTAATGGCTAACGGCTAAAACACGCCACAATCGCACTCCTCTCTCCTCTGCTAAGCCAAGCCAGTGGCATCAGCTGCAGGGTCCCAACACTACCCAGAAGATGCAGCGCAAGTTCCCAATCCTTGCTCTTGCCACATGCGCTGATCGCTTTGTTGCAACCTCGTGGCCCCCCAAACAACAAAATACATTTAAAAAAAAAAACATTACAGTAAGAAAACACAATAGAAAACATGTTCTCTTCTTGTCATGGTGCTATGAGCCTGGTGCATTCTAGAATCGGGCTATTTGATTATTGTGTGTCAAAGGTGCTTTCCTGACGTACGCCTATCTTCAAGCAAGCAGCTAATCAGGTGAAGCTCATCAAGGCTCAGTTCTTCCTGAATACACGTCGTGGAGCATTACCATTACACCCGCAAAAAAGAGCATCAAACGGCAAACTCACTGGAACCGCCAGTGGTTTGCAGTTTCTAAGGAAAATCATCTTGAAAGATTCTTTCAACAATCTGCCTTCGGATTCTATATATATATATAGTTATGTAGGCATATACAATATACTTCGAGGTTTTGCACACTACAACTGCAGGATGAAGCCGAGGATCCATGCCTGGCGCAGTTCACCGGCACATTGCTGTCACTCTAATTCCAATTGCTTCAGTCTTGAGCCAGCCCCCGTGGGTCATCAATAATGCTGAAAAAAGGATGTTGACCCCTTCTCCAATAAAGCGTGGAGAGATCACAACTTGAGCTATCACATGATCTCCACCAGGTATGAAGATTCCTGTGTGATTCTCTTCTTGGCCGATGTGCCATCGAAATGCCTCCATTTGCAGCCATGGCACTCATGGATCTCATACCGCAGTCTGCGCCTGAAAATGCAAATCGGCCGTCGCGGACTCTGAAGATGTGGCCTAACATACGGGGTGACTGAATTAAGGTTGGAGTCGTCTAGTTGCTAGCTGTGAGGCCAACCCACGAGCTGAAGCCTCAATACTCAAGCCCTTGTGCTTTGCAAGTTGGAGGTGAAAGCGGTCCTTCATAGCAAATAAAGCTGGACAGGGTGTGACAGTTGCAGGGCATTATCGGACTCAAGCCGGGTGAGCTGGTGCATGCGAGCTTGTGCGTGGTTCCTCCAGGGTCCTCATGGTTCCAAGGTCCCAGTGCTGGGGCTCGCACCCGTGTCCAGCATGGTTTTTGTGCATCTCCCGGCGCACTTTTGCTCGGTGGGCTGATCTTCTGCACGCTGGCACTCAGAGAACCCTTTGGGACACACAGCTCTCATTGCACAAACTTGATCTTGCATCACTGAGGACCTTGTGGACCCTATGTAGCCTTGGGGCCATTTGGCTTCCCAAGACCTGGGCGTGGTTGCCAAAGGGCAGGTGAACTTTAAAGGGGTGATACATCACACGCGACGGCACGACATAATGTGACAGCTTGTGCGTCTCATCAATCCAAATCCCTCACTGCAATTGTCAAGAAGGCACCTGCATCAAACGAAACCGCATAAAAGCCAGAAAAAGCTGTGGAGCGCGTTCCATCTCTAATTTTACGTATGCAGCTGCCAGCACATACACATTGACATGCTGGATGTCTGGACTTACTGGAACAAAACTATGAGACCTGGCCTTTGCCCTTCTTGCCAGGCATCGCCTGCATTGCGGTTTGACGTCACACTTTGCTCGCGGGTTTTTCTCTGTCCATCACTAGTTACTCGTGCACCGCCAACACTTTTGAGGATCTCACGCACGCAAAGGCAGTGCGTCCCGTGAAACAATAGAGGCTACTGTACTAGGACAATGTCTACGTCTCCAACACAGACAGAAAAAGATACAGCAGTAAAGCATGTGGCAAAGCCAGGGGTTCTCATGCTTTATTAGCTTCCTTCTCAGCTTGCGAAAGCAGCCTACCCTTCTGGGCAATTTCCTTGCGCTCGGAAAAGCGGTCCACCAAGAAGTCAGCATTTTCGCGCATGATGAGGGTGAATTTGAAATACTCCTCCATGACGTCCACAACACGATCCCGGAAGTTAGAGTCCTTCACAGAAGGCAAACATACAGTAATGCTTGAAGTGCCAGGTTGAGGTTGGGTTGGGGCTCACTCATCTATATACATGAGATTTCAATTCAAACACTCAACAACAAGGCAAGCAACATCCCGCCTTCATCCGCCCATCATCATCAAACTCCTGCCAGGCCTTAGGCACTGAAGACTGGTTGGTGCAGCAAGGCATTCGCATCCATCGGGCTAACCGTCGGAGCTCGTTCACCACGTTGAAGCTCTGACTGCCTCCATTCACTTGAAGCACCACGCAGGTTCGGCCTTGCGTCGGCCGCACCGACCCAGTGTTCAGCGGAAGCCAATCGATCTGATTCTTGAAGGCGCCCGTGACACAGCCGTGCATCTCTGGGCTGACCCACACATGGCCTTCCGACCACATGGACAACGCCCGGAGCTCCTGGACTTTCGGATGCTCCTCCAACGCCGGGTCCCGCACGGGCAGTCCATGGGATGAGAAGGTGCGCACATCAGCACCCAACAACTCCAAGAGCCGAGCACATTCGAAGGCCAACTTTCGGGAGAAGGAGCTCGGCCTCAAGGAGCCGTACAGCACCAAAATCCGTGGGCGGTGCTTGAACTGGGCACCAGGAACCTGAAACCGTGCTGCATCCTGCAAATTGGCGCCATGCTTGTCCTCCGCATCCGCAAAGACTTCAGAGACCCAGTCATGCCCAGGGCCGCTTCCAGGCACATCCCTCTCACTTCGGTGAGCAAGCCAAGCTCCGGTGCCATCTTCCAGCGGCTGAACATCATAGCCTCCATCTAAGACGAAGCTCGCCTCCGTCTCTGATGCACTACCCAATCCCGCGCGCGCAGCCAAACGGCGCTTGGAATGAAACGCCTTGGATGCGATCAGGGCGCAAAGGCCCACGGCCCGCGGCGCGCCAAGCTTTGGGGCAGACAATGTGGTAGCTGCAGCGTATCTGAGAGGGGAGCCCGAAAGGAGCAAGGCCCTCACTCTCACGGTTGGTCTTGCGGCGTGGAGCATCACAGCAAATACTCTAAAAGTTGACGGCCAAGACCTTGAGCCGATGAATTTATAGATGTCAAATTTGACATGCAAACACCTGTACTTGAGGCACGTAGTGAGCTCCGTCTTTCTGATTTCAAGAGATCCTAGAATATCCATGAATATCCTAGAATACTCGTGACAGCGGCCCCAAGTCGTTTGGCTTTGCGCCGTGCACTCACTCAGCCAAAGCCGACCTTGCCGTTCTCGTCCACGAGCTTGACTTTGCCTTCATGCCATACCAACGGTGGGTTATGCAGTTATGCAGCTATGCAGGACCCGTTCCATTTGGGTCATGGACCCCGCAATGACTAATCGCAACCAAGGAAGCTAAGCGCAGGCGGGCAGTCAAGCTCCCCAACACACACTCAAGATGGTTGATGGATATTGATGAACTCTGATGGACCTGCAAATTCTTGACGCCCTTTTGGGACAGGAGAAGGGATCTTTTCATTCGACTAGGCCTAGGCCATTCTCAGGGTGAGGAGACACCTTTTCGGGACACTTTCCACCACCCCATCCACAAGCTCCACCATCCACTGCCGCGTCCTGAGAAGTCCTGAATGATGTCCTGACACGGACAAAGGAAGCCCAATGCGACGGCTATTGTCCGCCATGATATCAACTGAAGACACAGAAAGCGGCACATCCCTGGAAAAGGTGTTCCACTTCCATGTTTATTAATGACTCTCTGCTCTCCCAGCACATAATCCACGGATATGGGGATCACGGCCCCGAAACGATGACCATCCGAAGACCCAACAGCTGGTGAGTGTGTATGGCACCAGGTGTTCGCCGTTTGCTGTTTGGGCCATCCTCGAAGCGCAAGGTGCACGAGCCAAGGAAGTCATCGGTTTTGCCCCAATCTTCATCATAGACTGTGAAGGTTATCGAGTCCTCAGAGGTAAGCTCCAAACAACTGAAAAGGCACAGCACCATCACGGTACGAAACCATTGCCAGCAGCCATACAAAAGTTTCCACCCATGAAATTTGCTGCTTCATCCCAGCCACACCGTGAGTAATTTTGAGCTTGTCCACGTGGTTGAACACCGTCTCCGCCGCTCCTCAGCTTCGGCATGCTTGTGCATCAGGGCCTATGTACATGCTTGGCCTGTGATAAGGATTGATCATGAACATCTACTGTAAGATGACTGCCATGAGTTGCTCCAAAAACATGCACTAAACCAAAATTTGTGGGTTGACCCTTGCTTGGAACTTGGCACCAACAGATCCCCTTGCAACAATATAATGGCCGCAAAGCCAAAACACCTCCAACGACATCATTCAACAACTGATCTTTGTTTAGAGGTGCACCCGCCATCCGCAATCTGATGCAACTGGAGCTCGGCTCTGTGCCATGGTCGGGGTGCGGAACTCCCCAGTGCCCTGACAGGAGGACTCATTCACGTGCTGCCCTTTGAAAATTCCACCGCTTGGGAGTACCAACTGTCGAAGAACCAATTGCCTCCACCCTCCTCCCTTTCGTCAAGTCAAAGCTCTCCTAAAGCACACGGCTACTAAATTCCTGCACTTTTTGTCGAGCTCACAATGCAAGGTGGCAAGGCTTCTTCTTTTTGTGAGACAATATCCACTCTTGAGCTGTGTAGTGCTATAACGCGGCTCAAGGGTGGGGCATGGCTCACCACTCTCAAACGACCAAATGCGCCCATGTCACAAGCACTAGACTCACTAGACAGCCAGGCGCCAGGTCACGCCCTCCTTCGCTCCCCAAATGCAGGGCGCCGCTGTGCAATGGTGTGACCATAGAAAGCTCGTCAAAATTTGAGGGTGTCATAGCGGCTAGCAGCGACAGAGACCCAAAAAACTACTTCCAGCTGGCCCCTTGGTCCTGCTGGCGCCAGAGTTGGACCCTCAAACACTAGTTGAAGCATCTCCAATTCTCACTGAGGTATCAGTGAAGATTCCTGGCCCAACCCTGGGGTCATCTATGCCACTGAAGTCACTATGAACATCATCTAAGCTCCAAAGTCGAAATTTGAAGAAACCTTTGCAAAAAGATGCTCCCCGTAGATCAGCTCGCCCCCTGCAAGGCCACGAGCCAAAGGTGCCGTGCTGCCCTCACAAGGATGCGGCTTTCCCAGGGGGGGCGCCACATCCAGTGGCCGAATTACCTTGATACAACATGCTTGGGCGGGTTTGATAGTGTTCTCCCCTACCAAACAATTATTGATAATTATTGACATCCTGCGAAGGAACCAAGTCTCATTGCTTCAAGTCAGTCTACGTCATACCACTCGCCACTCGTGGACCCCACACAAGCGCCACATGTGACCTGTTCCACCTTTGCCTCAACGCAACTAGCATATGAAGTGCAGCTGAAGCACCGCATCGAAGTTGGGTTCGTAGAAGAAGGCGATGGAAGTGCGAAAGTCGCCCTTCGTCTGCCGGACCCGGTGCCGTGTAGCCTTGTAGCGACCCTTGGTCCAAACACCTCGGGATGAAGCCAACAGAGGAAGGTGAACCCAATGAAAGCTCAGAGAAGATCCAAGTACACGTAGCAGAACACTGGAATCCACTAGCACAGGGGAAAAAACACTCAAGCCTTCTATCAGCACTCTGTGAAGTGCCAACGACACGAGGACCTTCCAGCACTCATGTGAAATGCCAACGACAAGAGGACGTTCCTCTCGGACAGTGCTCGTCCTTGTCCGGGCATATAAGATGTGTTTGGACCGTGATCTTTTAGGTTGGAGGCCATCAGCCATCGCTAGTAGGTTGGAGGCCATCGCTATTGGGTTGGAAGCAGTGATCTTTTTCGCACTCGCAAACTTGTGCCCTGCATTGGCTTGTCTCGACTCAAGCAGGTCGCTTCTGGCGTTGCGGTTGGCGCCTATGCGGGTGGGCACCGGTGGCTGCAGACGCCCCCTGCTGAGCCCCTCAGTACTTCTGTGCGATTCTGTACATTGGCAAGTCTGAGGCTTTCTGGACTTGATTTCTTCTCATCTAGTGTCTGGCTTTCAAAATGAGAATCAGGATCAACACCAAATTCACGATCACCAAGAAGTAGATACATTTCATGGCTCGATTGCTCTTCTGGCTCTCTTCAGCCTTCCGAAGCTGTTTGTTGGCCTCGGCACTCTGGTGTACCACCTGCTCAATGTTGTAGTCGATTCGGTCTAAAATCGAGCCCTGATCAATGACAAGCACTGCAAGCTCCTTGAAAATTGTATGTAAGTCAGTGATGGAGGATGCAATCTTGTGAATCTCTTCATTCCTGAAAGTGGCATTCTGCTCCATGTCTTGCAAATCCTGCAGTTGAGCTTCGCTGAAACCCATATCTAGGTCACTCATGACATCTCTGGAAGTTGCATCATCTAAGCCTCCTTTTTGGCGCTTCCGGACATCATTCAAATAATCCTTCTGCAACTGCCGGAACTGCTGAGAGAGTTGCTGCAGTTGGGTTGCCAGATTTCGCTGCATGTTGTGCCTCAACTCACGGTCCTTCTCTGTTGAAGAGGCGGCTCCACGAGTTTTGACCTGGTGAATTGCTGGCTCACATCTTTTCACCAACGCAGAGATTTCTGAGGAGATTCGTTCAACCTCTCGGTCAGGCGCCTTGTCATCGGAAAAGACTCTGAGCAAACGCTTTGACTGGGCCTTCTCTAAGTGTGTGAGCTTGTCTTTGATCAGTCGAATGTCTTCTCTTGCCTGCTCTGCAGCTTCGACCCATTGAGGCGGCAAGGACGTCATTTCGAGTGAAACCGCTTTGCGGCCACCTTCTATATCAAGCAAGCGATCGGCATCACCACTTGGCCCGCCGCCAAACCTCCTGGCTGCCCGACGGTCCCGATGTCGAATAAACACCGGGGTGAGATTGCGAGTGATGGGGGCCTTGCCATTTGCAGCTTTCATTTGAAGCATCTAGCTGCTAGAATGATTGGCACGGAACAAAGCCTGAGCCTCCATGAGCATCGGACAAATCAAGTTCAACCCTACATGGCCTGCTTAAAGCACGAAACTCTTTCGTGGATCATTGATCATATTCTTTACAAGGAGCGCATCACACTGCAGGACCTCTAGATCACGATGTCTAAAGCAGTGCAAATGAAAGAGAGCAATGATAAACTATAAATTGGTTCAGCTCCCAAATGAATTCCTAGAAGAACCATTGAAGAACCGTCATCCGTGCCATCATAAAGAGTCGCCTTTCAGCCTTGCTTCCGAGGTGCTAAGCATGTCGCCCAGATTCACCACGAAGGCCCCAGCTCGGGGTGGCACCTTGGCCCAGGACCCACCGGACAGTTGCACCTCCAAGGCGTCTGGCGTCTCATCCTGGCGAAGGTGACACTGAACGGAAAAGGCTGCAAGCATGTTGCTTCTTCCAATTCTTGCTTTGTGGCGGTCTGCGGGGAAATTACATACACAATATGCCTTGAGGCGCAGATCGTTTCTACACCTGCTCTGCCTGTGCCAGGATAGTCCAGCAGCCATAGTCCGTGTGCTCTCCACAGGAAAGGCCCACTGCCCCCTGACGCAGCGCAGGGTAGCCAATCACCCGGACACACCAAAAGCTCTGGTTCGTCAGATGGTTGAAGAAGTCCTGGGCACACGGCAGCACACGGCTTCGCCCCCACCTGTCTTTTGTCTTAGCCCGCCCTTACTTAATTAAGGAGGTGCCTACTTAATTAAGTAAGGGAGAAGTAAGCTAGCTACTCAAGCTAGCTAAACATGGGCGCAGGATAGCACTCGCACTGATGATTTGGTTCCTAGATTTTTTGGGAAACTAAATCGGCCACCTGTATCAGGGATTGGGCACTGCAGTTCTTTCATTCTGAGGAGATCTAGCCGCGCCATGGTTCATGTGGCATTTGACTCCAAAAACCTCACAAGTCCTGTGGCAGCCCCAATCCCAAGGCCATTGCCTCAGATCTGTGGCGAAATCCTTGGGAGAGTGGGACTGCGCCCTTCTAAGGTCCACATCCTGAGACCAATGAGACCAAAGGGTGCGCCTTTCAACAAATGTCACAAGTGAAAAAGAGTGGTAGTAAGCACTTAGGGCAAGACTTAGGGTGTGGAAAAGTTAGACAATCCAAGAGCTAGGACGGCTCTGTGCTCATCGGCAATTCACGTTTGGATGGCTACGTCAGCAATGAAGAGAAGCTATTGCAGGAACGTTTTTACACTACGATTCGTGATCATGCCAATATAATCTTGATAGACTGTGAGGAAGCCAAACATGAAGATAGAAGCAGGTGGTTGACTTCCCAAAACTCTTCAGGATGGACATAGTGACAATGCTGATGTTAGTACACAGTGACATGCAGGGGAGTGGATTGCGCCATGCTGCTTGCATCAAGGCATCACCTACTCGAGAGACCTTGGAGAAATATGCCTCGGCGGAGGCTCTGAACTCCGCTGGCTGGTTTGGCCAAACATTCCTCAGATCGAAGCAGTCCGCTTCCAAGAAGAAGCTGGGGTGGTGGAAGGCACAATCGTCCCAAACACTTGATAGGTTATGGCTTCTGCTGTGCAGAAAAGACAACGTCTCTCCCAAGCGCTTTTCTCAACCCATTCCCATTTCTGTCACCAAGATGCGGGGCGTCCATAAACTGCTGTAATTTCTCAATCTCTTCATCCCGCATCCTTGCTGGCTCTGCAGCAAATGCGTTGAGGTTCACCTGGCTGTGGCAGGAGGCTTGGTATCCCAGTTCTCTTACCATTCCAGCTATAGCCAGAGTTGTTAACCCTTCTTGCCAAGTGGGATAGATCTGAAGGGACGTAGCTTCTGCAAGAAGAAGTCAAATCTCGGGTGGTAAACCCACCCATCCACAAACAAAGAAGCCGGCAAAAGCCCAAGTGGGACAGCTCTCTTGAACTCCGACACCGAATTCCCGCCTCCTTCGAGTGAATCGGAGCAAAGAAATCAATGGCCTCTTGCCAGTCCCGTTGGTTCAGAGTCACGTTCTCCCCCCAGCCTCACAAGCGCTGCAGCACGGTGGCCCAGGCTGGCTGATCCAGGCTGCCGCTGCATGAATGAGTGAGCGAGGGGCCCAGCGAACTTTAACTCATCTCCATCAAACCCTTACGATTCATGAGCCTCATAGCCTCTCAATGTGGGGCACACACCAAGTTCTGGGTTCCGCTGTACAGTAAATAGCTTTAGAACTCGACGCCTCTGGTAGCCTCTGCCTTGGGCAGGCTGTGAGGACATAGCAATGCTCTCCTCAATGAAATGTCGGCTCTCTGTGCTTTCTAATCCTGACTGGGTGGGGTTGAGAATTGCTTTACAGTATATAAGTTTCAGGAATTGAGGGATGATGTCCACCTCTGTATGTCGCTCTTGCATCCGTCCTTCACAGACTCGGGCAGCGCAAAAAAGCGCTTTGCCAAGCGATGCAGCTGCTGAATCTCTTGTGTGGGCACTCCATGACCTTCGAGGTAGAAAAAGCCCACACTGCCTGGGAGGGGGGAGCACAAAAATGGAAGATTCTCAAGCCAACTGGGAATTCAGGCATGAGCAGCAGGATTCCAAACCCTACTTTGGGCGTGCATGCGGGCTTCATGCCATGTTGCTACATGCATCGTCCAGCGATCTGGCAGCTTCTTGGCGTTGCAAAGCTGATGACGAGGATGACATAAAGGGAGACAAGTCTAAAACAGGCAAGCTGACTTGTCGTCCTGGCACAAGTGAAATGCGTTTCCATGGCAAAGGGTGGCCCTTGAAAAGCATGAACCGTTCACCTGTGGCGCAAAAAGCTCGCCGTGCGCCACGCTGGAGGAACGCCATGGCAACGTTTAAAAAGGCCCGGCGATGTGTTAAAAAGCAATGTTTTTGGTAGGAAAGATCCTAGCCTGGTTATCTCACCCTCTCATGTGGAATGTGAGTCTTGCTGAGGCGTGCTGAGGCATAAATGATATCTATAATATATATATATATATAGATAACCACTGAAGCACCCAACTGTTGGCTGGTGCAGAGCCACTCTGCCGCGTGCAAGTGAGAATGAGCTCCCCTTGGCCCAAAGGCCAAATGAAGGGGCCAGTCCCCAAGTCCCAGCGAGCCTTGCCATCGACTTTGCAAACGACGTACGGGTCTGAGGAGCCTGCCCACCAATCCTGAGGGGTCAGGTGCACTCCTTGCAAGGCTGTGCCAAAACATGAATGCCTCCGACTCCGACACATGACAAGGATCGTTTCTCTGCACTGAAGTAGCCAACTGCCCATGAGGTTTAATGTGAAATAAGCCAATAAGGTAGGTGCGGAGCACACGTAACATGGCACAACATAGACTCTGATTTTGAATCAAGCCGCAGCATCGCGCATCCCTTTTGCGGAGATCACCTTCACCTCAACATTGTATTCCTGGCCGGCTTCCAACAATCGCTGAGAGCAGCGCATCCACGCAAAAGTGAAGTGGAAGGAACATGAAGGAGCCAAAGAAACTCTTTTGTGTGGGTTTGAGCTTTTGGATGACGTAAGTCCTTGGGCGCTTCGTTGTGGGCAGGGCCCGTAGTAGGGTCACCTGGCGGTGTCACTGGCATCTGCCATGTGCACCCACTTCATGGTTCTTTCAAATGCAATGCTTGCGGCCAAGTGAAGTCTGTCGCACCATCATACTTGTTCAGAAACTTCTCCGTCAAGGTGGCCCTCAGAGTTCGCTCGGTGGCGAGTCGACGACTCTTTTTTCGGCGCAAGGGCGTTCAAGCCGAGACACTTCTTCCGGAAGTCCAGTTCCTTCCAACGGCGGCGCATGAAAGGAAGGGCTACACGACATATATCTGCATCGTTTAAGTTTGATTTGAGATGCTATGAGTCAGCTTCGGACGAATTTTTTGTTCAAGCTTGAAGGTCTGAGTTCAAAAGTGCTTTGGTTAGTGTGACTCCGTCACAGCGGCCCCTGGCGCATACCTCTGCCAGGTATACATTTCCTACCCGTACCAGGTAGGGACTCCATTAAGTTAGTTAGTCAAGAGGATACTGAAAGGCGCGGCAGCTTGCGACGGCTGCGGCGGCCGAGATTGGCTCACCATCTCACGTTGAAAGAGCCCCCCGTACCAGCGCCGCCATACCAGGCTCGCTTTCGCGGCGTGCCAGTTCCCAGCCGTCAGCCACGGCGTCCAGCTTCTTTCAAGGCCTCCTCATAGGATGTAAAGTAGGGTGCCAAGTCGCTGGGAGTTTCGATCCCAGCTGCGGAGCACCACACATTGAAGCGCTCTTGCTCGACAGCGCGTCGAGCCAGCTGCTCCTCCATGGCGCCAGCCGCAAAGAATTTTGAAGAACCAGAGTCACTGGATTCTTCAGGAGTGACACTCCTTTGACTTTTTGGCTTGAGCCTCAAGCTCAAAGGAGTGAGCTTAAACCGAGTGACATCAAATAATTCCTCATCACCGACCCTGCCTACCTTGAATGAATGAATATAATCTATATCATGATAACTTTTTGGCTACGCAAAGCCTGTCTACAGCTCCACCCAACCAAACGAAAAGCCATGAGAAGCCTGTTGCGCCTGCCCACCATCCACTCTACCATGATGGCATTGCATAGTGGGGCCAAAACATCCAAAACTGTGGCCTTTGACCTTGACCCACACTTTAATTCCCGTCTCTGTGTTTCGATTCAACGTGTTCCAGACCAAAGAGAATAAAAAGTAAGACCCAAAGGCCCAGAAGAGCCCAAGATCAGTGAAATACCCGGGCATCGCTACTAGTAGCAAGTGCATTACTACTGCACCCCCGGCATCGCAGCGCGAAGCGCCTCATCCAGCAGCACCATCACTGGGACGCCAGTGGGAATCACCTCCTCTGCCTCGGCAGAGTCCTCCTCGTCGTCGCCCTCCAAGAGGCGGCACAAAGCCTCGGAAGCCCATCTCTTTGAAGCCTCCACAACCTATACCAGAAGGAACCGCAATGGCCTCCAACCTGCTAGCGATTGGCCTCCATTCTAATAGCAATGGATGGCTGTGGTTATCCAATGTCTTGGTTTGAACCCACCATAGGAGTCACGGAGGATTGTGGCATGTTCTTGGAGCTCCAGTGAATGCAGTGGATCAGTCTATCATACTGTTGGAAGGCCCTTTGATGATCGGTATTGATCGATCAAATTCTGATGACTGAAATCTCAAACAGCATACAACACACAAATGGAATAGCATCCTGCAACCCAAGGGCGGTGATCGATGCCTGGTGTCCCACCACAAGAGGCGTCTTATTTCTCAGCAGCAACGGTGTGAGGGAGTCCTCGGATGACACAAACCCGATGGGCTGATGAGACAGCTTCGTTTCCTTTGCCCTCTCCTTGGCAGGGCATGTCCTCCCTGTTTTCCCTGTTTCCTTGCGTAGCTCTCGCCGCTGCACTACGCCCAACCAAGCGTCGCTTAAGAGTGGCTGAACACGATCCGACACCATCCTCGGCTGCGCCCAACAACCCCGCATGGCCCCAACATGGGTCTTGTGTGTGTACCCCCTGTAATCACAGGGATTCCGTTGAATTGTTTTTCTTTTTAGCAGGGGGGCCCATGGACACTTGGATGGCATGGGCCAACGAAGACCCATCCAAGCTGTCGCGAAAACGTACCTGCTTGTTGCACCTGGGCGCATTATAAGACGCAGCTGGTGGCCACCCTTCTTCCTTTTTGTAAAGTGCTAGTGAGCTCCGCAGACTTGCACGCTACGACGTCACCCTGTCGCTCCGTTGTCGGCTTGCGCTTTGGGCCACCTTTCCTTCTGAAGACCTCCAGGATCCGTGGCTCTTACTTGTACCCTTAGGAAATGGTACCCTAGGCCGGCGTGTGGCACCGCTGTCAAGTCAGTACGCATATCCATAAGTGTGTCTCTCCCAGTGGGAGTCCGGGATGAGCCCGCAGAGTGCCTCCCGTGGACCCGTCGAACGGGGGTTTGTCGTTATCTCCCCTGCCCGGAGATGTAAGTGTCCGGAGCGGACAGCAAATGGCTTACGCCACAAGAAGTGGGATGATTGCCTCATTTTTGGAATTCTAAGTTGGCTCATGCCTCTACGTGACCGCAGCGGTCAGAGGTGACAGCCCTTGGGCAAGCCGTACGTGGTCGCAGCGACCGAAGTTTGTTCAAGGTTCATTGGAACCTGTCGCGAGCTTAGTCCCCCCCTTCCCCTTCCCTCCCCCCTTTCTTTCTTTGCTTTTTGGTGTTTTCCTGAATGGAATACTCAGGATCACCTCTTTTTTTCTTTGGTGTGTCCCTGGACGACTGTTCGTAGCTGGGAACACCTGCCTTTTTCTTTTCTCTCCTCTCCCTTTCTTTCTTTCTTTCTTTCTTTCTTTTTTTCTTTCTTTCCTCTCTTCACCTTCTTCCTCCTTGGGTGTCCCTGGATGCTTTTGTCATAGCTGGGAACCCTTTTCCTCTGTTCCTTTGGTGTGTCCTTGGACGCTTGTGTCGTAGCTGGGAACACCTTCTTCCCCTTTCCTTTCTTCTCTTTCTTTTTCTCTTCTCTCCCTACCCCTCCCTCCCGTCGGGACCTTAGAGTGGGTTGCTACTAGGGGCTCCTTGCCTTACTACTAGGACGCTACTTTGATGCTTCTAGGGGTTCCTAGCCTTACTACTAGGCGCAAGGACGCTCTAGGGCAGAGATGCCTCCCCTTGGGGAGGCGTGTGTGTGTACCCCTTGTAATCACAGGGATTCCGTTGAGTTGTTTTTTCTTTTTACGAGGGGCCCATATGGGCCCATGGACACTTGGATGGCATGGGCCAACGAAGACCCATCCAAGCTGTCGTGAAAACGTACCTGCTTGGTGCACCTGGGCGCATTATAAGACGCAGCTGGTGGCCACCCTTCTTCCTTTTTGTAAAGTGCTAGTGAGCTCCGCAGACTTGCACGCTACGACGTCACCCTGTCGCTCCGTTGTCGGCTTGCGCTTTGGGCCACCTTTCCTTTTGAAGACCTCCAGGATCCGTGGTTCTTACTTGTACCCTTAGGAAATGGTACCCTAGGCCGGCGTGTGGCACCGCTGTCAAGTCAGTACGCATATCCATAAGTGTGTATCTGTCTGTCTGTCTGTCGGTCGGTCTGGTCTGGTCTGATCTGCCTCTACCTCTCCACGGCCAAGCAGCTTGGCTGACTCTGAGCCCGGCCGAAGGGATGGCGGAATCGCCCTGCCGCGCCGGGCAACGGAGCTCTGGGTCATGCCAGCTTCAGCAGCTAGGTCTAGGTAACTTCGTGATTCATTTGTCTGAAAGGTGGCAAACCAACAGCATGTCGCAAGCTCTCCTTGCATCCCAAAACAGGAATGGCATGAACCCCTATCAAAATTGGCTATTGGGATGACCTCTCACAATCTCTACCTGTTGCTATCTTGCTTCGATGTTTATGCCCACTCCATCCTCGGTTTCCGGTGCCTGTAGATCGGATCATTCGAGGGATGCTGCAGGTCAGAGGCCTCCAGCGCCGGTGGCGCCTCGGCCTTCCAGGAGCTCAACTGCTCCTCGAAGCAAAGAAAGGATTGAAAGTTGCTGTTTGATGGTGCAATGCGTCAGGTTCTTTTGGGCACTTCCACTAATTGGCATGCCTCGTCAGAATCCAAAGGGGATCACAATTTGAGGCCGTTGCCCTATCTCTGAGCTGTCAGAAGGGAGCCCAAGCGCTCCATTTCCAGATGCTTGGGGGTCAACCATCAGCTCTCCTTGCAGTATGTCTTCTCCAAGTCCTTCTCGGTCACTCCCTGCAACTTGCCCCAGTGGCGATCGTTCAGGCGGTAAGTCTGATAGTGCCTCACTTGGCAAGTTTGACGCGGTCAATCTATAAGCTGCAGCTCGATCCCCAAATGGAGGAGTAACGAATTGAAATTTAAGCTGGCAACCAGGTGACGTGTTCAAGCATACCTTTATTTGATGCAAAAACCTTGTAAAAGACCCTGGACGGCCGCACGCTTCAAATAGCCTCAACAACCTTTCAGCACAAGCTTCGGTACAGCCAGCTCATTGCTTTCCATCAAAGTGGTCCAAGCAGTGTAAATAGCCTCCGCAATCTGCAGATGGAAATGTGTTACCTCTGTAAACGTCCAACAAAAGTCATCCAACCCTGCCATCTTGGCTGAAAAAAGGCCGAACCCGCTAGGCTTGCTTGGTGTCATCTGCAGCTTCCACACTACACACATGCAACACATGCCTGTTTCTGCACCGAGGTGAAGACGGCATCAAATTGAAAGCCAGCCTCGGTCCTTGGTTCAACACACTAGGAGATCGAACCAATGCCAATTTGAAGGCTTGACAACAACCTCACAACTTCTCGCCAAAGTCGCAGCAGCTTTCCAGCCTGCCCATATGCTTTCGGGTGATCTTCTGTTAGGGGTGATAGTTGAAACTTTAGACCTACAACATGACTCAATATGACAGGTACCATCACCTCCCGGTCCCGTTCGTCCAACCAATGACAATCTACAAAACAATGGCAGGATGCCCGGCCTTCCTTGCTTGGTCTTGGCCCTTGGCACTGAGCCCATCGCTGACCCAGCCAAGACGAGTGCCCTAAGTGCTGCAGCCACGCAGAAGGTACAACTATTCGACAGGTGGCCAAGTCTGAAAGAAGCAGGTATGCTGCATGCCTGTTTGCAACTGGAGCTGGCTTCATGTGGGAATGTAGGACATCATGGTTCTCTCCATCGCTCTCTTCTAACAAAATCAGGCGCCAACTAAGCACGGACAATATGCAAATACCACCGAAACTCCCTTGCTGCGGCTGAGCCGCTGTAGCCTGTCGCTCAGTTTCTCCAGCTGCTAGCAAGACCTTGAGGAAGTTGCTAGGTTTATAGTCTGAGTCATAGATATATGCAGTATATAACATATATATATATATCCAGTTATATACAGTATATTTTATATATATATATAGTCACAGCTTCTCTTCGTGGTTCCGAGGCCTGCGTGGTGCATGGTTACATCTTGGAAACATGTTCCAAACTCAACACCAACGGCATTTGTCCTGTCCCACATGTTCCCCTCCTGGATCTGTGTCCATACTCCCCATTCCTATGCTTCAGTCAGGCCACGACGAAGCGAGACATGGCCACGTGGACAAACACCCAGGCGGCGGCACAAACTGAGAGCCAAAAAGCAAGGACCACCATTGTGCAAGAGACCTCTTACAGGACCAAACATGAAAAGATCGGCGGACAGCAAGCCTCGTGTTCAATCCTGAAATTAAGCGGCCGAGCAAAAGGAGGCCTATGTGCAACGGCTGAATGCGTGTCAGCAAAGCTCTAGCATAATACAGTATGATACAGTATGCACAAATGATGCAGCACGACCCGACCCTCGTCGCCTCAACAGCCAGACTCAGTCACATCGCTTTGTGGCATTGCAACATCGCAGCGCACTGAAGAGCCAAAAAGCAGTGCAGCTGCAGCTAAGAAGTATTGCACTTACACTTCAGTCACTATGTCACTATGCTCCCACAGCGTCGCTGGACTAAAAGAGAGAGAGAGAGAGAGCACTTCTGCAATTGATACAAGTCCCACTATCCAACTTCTGTGCCTCATCTGACTGCCCAGCTAGAGCCTCACAAAACGGGTGACCATCGCTCGCTGACACAAGACCGTTCGAAGCCTGGCACAAAGAGTCAGAGCTTGCCTCTTTGCCATCGCGCAAGAGCAACAGCAACTTGCCAAAGGCATCCAAGAAGGGATGGCGTGACACCAGGCAAAAGGCTCGCAGCTGGCCAGCCTCCGAGAAAAAAGAAAACACTGCCTTTTTTGCATATCTGACCATGGTCGTAACTCTCAAGCTCACCTTGGCGTCCTGGTCAGATTTTCCGCGGCTTCTGATTTCACACATACAGTAGCAAGAACACCGGCAACGTTCTGAGAAAAAGCGTGCTGAAGGCAAGAATGAGTTCCCGAAAACCTGTTGAGAAATGACGCAGGAACAACAACCAGCTGAGCCTCTTCAAAGCATAGCGCAGTGCAGTAGAGGAAATCCTCACGCCACAAATTGCTTGTTGAAAATTTGTTTCGATTCCAGAAGTTGATGGACAACCTACCAGACAGACTCCATGGGAAACAGGACAGAACATAAAAGGAACCATGGCCCGAATTCTGTGAAAGATCTTCCACCACATCCGCTCCGTAGGATCAGCCGTCACGCATTCAGAGTCATCGTCCTGTGGGCGTTGCATGAGTGGCCGCTAGTAGCCGCCAGTAGCCGTTTCAGCCTACGTGTCATGAGTAGCCGCTTCGTGATATGGATTTTGTTAGGCCCTAGCTGCAGCAAGGCATCGTTGACCCTCCACACCCAAAAAGAACTCTGCAGTTTAATACGCAAACGCTTTGCGAAAGCTGAGCATGAGAGGGTTCTGCAGTGGTTCCAATCCATGCACCAAACTTGCTCGGTCAATCAGAAACAAAACAAACCAAATCTAGCTCTCAGTCGTGAAGTGTTCGGCCAATTGTTCATTATGCAACCAGCCTGTGGCAGAACAGCTGCCAGAACCGTGAAAGTGAAAGGTGCTGGGCTGCCCTCGGCCGCTTGGGCTCTGTCTGGAAGCTTCTTGATGATCACCGCACAAAGCTGGGCATGCCGGAAATCTTGCCACAAAAGCTTGACCGGCTGAACCTCCACCAGTGAGTCCTTCAAAAAAAAGAGAACTAGGATGATTCAAGGCCTAGGTCCTTCAAGGATCTAGGTGGCCTTCCGGCAGAAATGCATCTCCAATGCCATGTTGGTCATTTGCCTAAAGTGCCGGGCCTTCGGCCTTAGGCTACGATAGCATGCATGCAGTAAGCATGCAGTATATCTCCCACCTCGGACTCGAGGTGCATCACCCGCAATGAGGAACTCAGACTCCCACCCAAGAAGAACAAAAGGACGCTATACGTTCGTCCAGCCTCAGATCGTGTTCCCAGAATCAAGTGGGCAAGTTGCTTCGAAAGGCAAGTTCAGTCGGCTGGGTATCTTGGAGAACCTCCTGAGTTCTTTCCTGCAAAGGTTGGAGGCCATTCCTAGTAATTAGATTGGAGGCCATCGCGTCCAAAACTGCTGCAGCCGCGCCAGCTGCACCCAGGCTCCGGCATACTCTGTTGTCCCCGTCGCCGCCTCCGGTCATGGGCATTGAGTTGACTCTAGTTAGCAACAAGGTCTTCTATGGATTTCATCTTCGGATGGCAAGTTACCAAAAACATCCAATCACTAGACTCGACTATATAATTAGTGACAAAACCATCCCTCACGTCAGGTCTCCAACCCACTGAAGCAGGCTTTTCCTCAGTTCCATTCAAGCAGCATGTTTGTGTGGGTGGTTCTCCTTGAGCTCATACCCGGCGGGCTGCGTCAATGTGTGCCAGCTGTCATTCACCCGAAAGATCACTTCAACTGCTCCGGGCTCCACGTTCGCCATACAGCATTACATCATGTGGTTGACCAGTGCATCATCATGATCCTACTAGAAGGGCATTGAGGAGTGGTGGGTTTCAGCCACTGACTCTGTCGTGGAAAGCCTGGAACGTGAGGGTAGATCTGGCGGATTTAGCACCTCAGGCAGGAAATTTGGCAACTCTCACATCATCGCGAACAAAGTGATCGTCCAAGCATTCGTCCAAGCCACTGTCAGTGCGATCTCTGATTTCTCTGGTTCGCGTGAGCGTTCGATCATCGGCTGCACCTGCCCCCGCAAGGAAGCATTCCCACTGTCCTCTGCGGTGGCCAAGTCTATGGCAGAATCTGCCAGCCCTGCATACACTGCAGCAGCGTAGGAGGCCGCCAAGTTCAAGAGAAAGGACAAGCACGGTAGCAACGGAGCCTCCACCTCAGACATGCTGGTCACCCTTATGCCGAGCTATTTGCAATATACGACTTGCAGAATTGGACCCAGTTCAAAAAGGAAGGCAGAGACGGCTGAGTCCGTCTAGGCCGTGGACCGCGAAACGCGTTCGACCAATGCAGCCAAACAGACATCCGCCTCGAGGAGCGCTGGCAGGGCGACGAACAGAACGTTGAAAGAGCTCCGCAAAGCCAGCTGTGAGTGTAGCCGGCTCGGCTTATGCAAGAGCAGTGATGCAATGCCCGCTGCTATAGAGAGTGGTGGGGCCAATGGGGTCGGCAGCAGCAGCCAGATCCAGAAGGTTGCACAACCAGACAAATTGCGCAGGCTGTACGCAACCAGGGCACAAACCATTGCATCTAGTATGATCAAGGTAAAGAAAAGGACTGACACGAGAAACTCCAAAATGGGGTTTGTAATGGAGCACACCCACGGAGACAACGCTTGAAAGCAGAGTTGCTCAAACCTCCGGCTTGGCAAAAATGCGGAAATCCTTCTCAGACTCGTCACTGTGACAGCTTCTTTCAGTTTTCTGTTGGGTTTGCATCCAGTTCCTGGAGCTGCAAGGACGCCCTCCACATCTCTGACCAGTTCACCATTCTCGATGTTGCCGTGCAAGACCAAGCATAACTTCCAGTCCACTTCTACTTTGGTTTTTGCTTCAAGGGTTTCTGCGGCAGGAATCCTCTGTACCTCAGCAAGCATCTCACCACTCACCTTTTTCTATTGCTGGAGTTGCCACTGGTAACAGGCCCCTACCTGCAAAAAAGACCCCACATCGAATCTGATGCTTTCTGCACGTCTGCACTTGGCCAAGGCACCAGCTCACTGAAGGAGGCACCATCATCCACCGTGCTGCTCGCTTCGCGTGGGGAGCTCTCTGCACTGACCGCCTCGTCTGGCCAAAAGCGCAGCACCTGCACATGAGCCAAGGGTTGCCCCAAGCGTACACCACAGCGCCTGACCTGGCATGCTCGATTGACATCATCCGGCACTTCAGTGAATGATACCGATCTTAAGTCCGAACATTTCCACAACTGAGGTCCCACCACAGCTGTTCAACCAACCCCATCGTCTCCACACCTCCTGGTCCAGCAAGCTGAGAGCAGGAAGGTCAATCTGATCTTCTGACTCTGCAAGTTCGGAGTAAGGCACCAAGCGACTGAAGAGGTTGAAGGTGCAAACCAAGGAATAGATCGCCTGAGCAGGAAGCTATGGATCCAGCGGGTCTTCTTGCAGCTTCAGTCGATTGCGCGGACGTTGTACATCCTGTATTCCAACATGTCCACGTCCAACATTCCTATGCAAAGTGTGACCTTGCCTAAAGCTTCAAAAACGCGCTAAACAGGGAACCTGGCCTGGGCCTCCACCGGCTGCGGGGTCTGTGCCAAGCCCAGGAACAAGGGATCGCTCACGTTGAGCTCGAAGGGCATCTCCCAGGTACCCTTTCCTTGGGCCACGAAGACCTGCTCCGACCTGTCGCAAGTGCTGATACTGATGCTCAATGAGCATCGACCCGATGCTCAATGAGCATCTTCGCCAAATCTACTCTCATGAATAGCGCCGGACAACATCATATATATATATACATATACATATGGATATAGATATAGATATAGATACCGTATATGAGATATATGAGAATGTCAGTCTCGGTTTCTTGGTGGTCTCCTCTAAGGTTTAGGGGGTCTAGGTTCTTTATTTGGGGGGGTAGGGGGTGTCACTTAAAAAAAGAGAGCGGGTGGTCATGGGGCCTGGGTTTTGGTTTTCCCCAAAATTTTAGGTAAATGCTTCAGTGGCAGCCCCTCTCCATATAAACACACATATCTATTCTTGTTCTCACTCTATATGAACAAATATATTATGTATTCCTGAGTCAGGATAGTTTTATTGTTTTGGAAGCAGCAATCAGTCATTCAGATGGTTTTGAACAAGCTAATTAGAAAAGAAGCAGGCCATAAAAGTGGTCGTTTTAACAATTGTCCTCTAGATCTCTGCTTATAATGTTTAGATTTGGAAAGATTGTATATAGACGCTTTTATGTTATAAAAGATTCTCTATAGATCTCTGCGGATAATCATGTTTAGATTTAAACAACTATATAGAAACCTTGTATGTTAAAAGCTTTCTTCTAGATTTCTGCGGGCAAGAGCTTGCATGTTCAAAGCTTTCCTCAGGATCTCTGGAAAAGTAGATATCCCATATATATATGTATATATGTGTTTTCATGAAAGGAAAGCTCTTGAAAGAAAGACTTATTTATTGATATATAGCATGTTTAAAATGACATGACCATTTCCAGAGATCCAGAGGAAAGCTTTTGAAATGAAAGCTTATATATAGTTTTATTGTAGAAATGATCATCCCCAGAGATCTAGAGGGAAGCTCTTGAATTAGAAGCTTGTACATAAAACATGTTTAATATGTATATATTACCTCCAGTGATTATTGACAATAAATAAATCTAACTATTTACTCCAAAAAAGAGTTTTAGTCTTGTTCCCAGCACTTCCAGGGCAAAAAATACTGTAAAACACGGGGTTTTGTAGCATGTGTTTTCTTAAACTAAATAGACTAGAGCTAGAATAGAATTAGGTAGAATTAAATTGGATTTGAGTTGGAGCTAAGATAGAACTGAATTAAAACCGAATTTTAACTAAACTTGTATTGAACTACAACTATAGCCTAATTGACATTAGATGAGAGTTGAATTAGAAAGGAATTGACATTAAAATTAGAAGTTCGCCAGAATAAGATGTAAATGCTTGAGCTACAAGCACAGAATTACGCTCGCAAAGATTTCCAACCGTTTCATGTAAAGGACAGAGTGTCCTCGCAACTGCATGTCAAGCTGTTTGGAAATGCAAGTGGCAACCGCATTGATACCAGTCAGCAGTTAATGCACTCAGACTTGTATATGGAGATTTGGACAAGGACAAAGGAAGTGTTGAGCTCAGACGGTTTCAGATATAAGCAAAAAGAACAAATGCCTTGAGGTGAGAAGTAAGCTCAGATGCTAAACCAAAAAACCTTGAGAAAACAAAAAAAACAAAAAACACAATTCTGAGAGACTCTTGCTTGGACCCCCCAAAATCAGAAGAATCAGAAAACCAAAAAAAACCTTGGGAAAACCAAAAAAAACAAAAAAAACAATTCTCAGAGACTCTTGGCTGGACCCCCTTTTCCTAAAGACTTCCCCAGAATTGTTTTTTTTTGTTTTTTTGGTTTTCCCAAGGTTTTTTTTGGTTTTTTGTTTTTTCTGATTTTGGGGGGTCCAGCCAAGAGTCTCCCAGAAATGTTTTTTTGATTTTTGTTTTCCCAAGGTTTTTTAGCTTTTTGTTTTTTCTTATGTGCTTTTTATCCTTTAGGCATATTTATCAGTGTTTTTTGGCTTTGATTGTGGCACTGATGCATTTACCTAATATTTATGAAAATTTATGGAAAACCAAAACCCAGGCCCCATGGCCACCCCTTCTGTAAAAAAAACACCACCACACCCACCTGGAGGGTGCCCAGTCCACCAGCGACCGAGACAGGTCGAAAACGTCCAGGTGGGCCGAGGTGGCCTTCACATCGCAGCCGAAGCTAAGATGCGCCCGGGCCAGGCGGCTCCCCGACGGCCGCGGCCGCCTGGCTGTCCAGAGATGCCCCGTGTCGGCGGCAGCGGCCAAGATGGCAGAGACCTTCCGAGCCCGGAAGGCCCTCTGTCTGAAAGCCATGCAATGGTAGAGAGGCAAGCTCAGGAACCACACAAGATTCAAACCTGAAGCTGAAAAGCCAACTTGGTAATACTCAGATTCACCTGATTCGACTCCTTTGACATACAGGGTACAAAAATCTGGGGTTCGCACAGTAGGTCTCCCAGGTAGGGATGCGAACTGCCTGCTGCAGCTGGATCACCAACTCCTCCCAGCCCTCTTTCTTCGCTTCTTCAGCCACGCCTGAAGGCAGCGCTGCAATCAGGGTAGCTGCACGGCTGATCTTCCAGGGGAGCTCAGGTGAGTTCTGTCCTTGCCAGTAAATGCGGCACACGTGTTTTGGCAACTGCTCTGGCTGAAACTCCCGGCTTCCCACGCGAAAGGCTCCAGGGGACTTGCGGCGCTGGCGGCACAACCACCAAACACCACGCGCCATGATGAAGATGATCAGCGGGCAGATTAAGACTGCAAGAAAACCGCGTCTCCCACCGAAGCAGCTCATAGCAAAGTCGATGTTGTTGAGGCACTCAGGGTTGATCTTCACATCTGGAAGCCCAATCTCACATTCATAGGGGCAAGAGCTATTGGGCCACGCATCGGCAGCGTAAAAGGCGAAGCCACGCTTGTTCTTGCACGGCTCACAAGGCTTCTGCCCATCGCCCCAGCGACCCACCGGGCACGGAGAGCAGAAGGGGCCGGAATAGCCTGAACAGCACTGAAGCACACAAGCTGGCTACAACAACCTCAAGTTGGAATGACTAAGACTTAGTCTGGTTTCGGGTGCTTCCAGAATCCTCAGAACTGACCCATGAGCTCCCAAAGGACAACCTCCATCAACCTCCTGAACAATTTCACGACGTTCCACGAATTCCCTCCCTGCCTTCCTGGCAAGGGACCAGGGATGTGGCAAAGCCAGCCCCTCCCTGAATGATCTCACGGCCTTGTTGTGGCAAGACATCAGCACAGCCAGCAGTCAGGCCTCCCCCTGACACGTCTAGCGCGATGTCTTCAATGATTGTGCTGTTCCGGAGCAAGCCAATGAAGCCTCCCCCACCTGCACCCCCCGTGGCCGCAGTCTTGCTACTGCACTGTGCGCTCCCACCAGTGGCGGAGAGCTTTGGAGCTTCGCATTCTGAGGAGGCTTCCTTGTCACAAAGTACCTGGAAATGCGAAGTCATCACTAAGATTTGCCCTCCTGCACCGCCGCCTGAAACTAGCAACCAAAATTGCCGGTAGTTTTGAAATGCACCGTCGGTGCCTGATGCTGTGATACGCACTCCATCCGACAGGGAGATGACTGGGGCTGAAAGCCAGATCAGGCCACCCCCTGCGGAGTTTGGCTCTGTTAGGTCGGGATCAGGAACGCAGTATTTAGCTGGCACCCCACATCCACCACCCGCGGCACCCCTCAGGGGCAAACGGGACCAAGCAAAATCACTTCGGATACCAGGCCGCGCACAGCCGGTCAACTCAAGCTTCTCATCCAATTTGGCACCGAGGCCCCCTAGCCCGAAGTTGGATGCTCCAGCTGCTCCGCAGCGAATGTAATAGCTTCGAGACTCGCCTCGGCCAGGGATTCCCTCCCCCGGCGGGCAGCCCCGGCCATCGCTACTAATGACCGCCATCCGCTCCAAGACCATCACCTCCCGCGAGCACAGGAACGGGGCGGCCGCCAAGAGCCGGGCACGTGGTCCAACATTCAGCTCTTGCCACGCCAAGATGGCAAGGTCTACACCTCGGACGCCAGGCATTCACAGGTAAGTCAGAAAGGAATCGGGTCAAAGGGTTTTTGTGAAGATGTTTCGGCGTGAACTTGAAAGCCTGGGACCACTGCTGACTACGGAAAACCAACATCCAAACAATGTCGCACTTCATGGTGTGCACAATTAACTGGAGGAAAAAAGTTTCAACTAACCTTTTACCTTGGGCTGATAGGAAGCTCATGATTCCCAGCACACATGCACAAGGAAGCTGCGTGCTGGGCTAACCCTAGTTACTTGGCTACCGTAAACCCACGACTTGGGGGCTTGGTGTGTGGTCGAGGTTGTTGCTGCTGTTTCGTCCCCCCCATGTTCACGTTTCGCTCGTTTGTCTTGTTATCAGGCTCAACTGCCCTCGCTTATTTTGTTCGTTCGTTTACGGTCGGCGGTTTACGCGCACGTGTTCTAGTGGTCCGTTTCTTTTATGTTTGGTTTCAGGAGTGTTTGCCGCTATACCCTTTCAGGGTGATGAGCGACTACCACGGCTGAATCCTCTATATCTCTAGCTATCTGTTGGGTCAGCTTGGTGGAGGAAGCTATAGGGTGGAGATCGGCCTCAGCAGCCAAGTGAGCCGAGCTGAGCGCTGATGCGTAGCTCGCTAGCTTGCTTAGCTGAGGCATGCTGAGGCTGACATGGTCAACATGGTCACTGGTTACATAGTGTTGGTCGCGTGACTGCGGAAGAGCTGGGTGTTGAGAAAGCGGACGTTAGTGCCGTTAGCCCAATATTGAGCGATGAGCAAGCAGCTAGCTGGGCGTTGAGTTAGCCAAGTCGTGGAGTAAGATGAGGGTTGAACCAACCAAGCAGTGTACTCCCTAGTAGCGTCCTTGCTCCTAGTAGCGATGCCAGGAGTCCCTAGTAGCGTCCTTGCTCCTAGTGGTACGGCCAGGAGCCCCTAGTACTGTACCGTCTATTGATATTTTGAGGTGATTTTATCTGCCTCTGGGCGAGCAATGTCTAGTGAATCTTGGAGTTCCTGTTGATTTTTGACAATCGGGACGGACCTGATGCAGCTGCTGCACTCGGAATGGCAAACGTCAGGCCCATCAAAATTCCGCTGCTGGCAAGGGGTTGTAGCCTGATTTCTACAATGGATCACTAGTAAGTCTTACAGCCTTTGACTTGTGGCACTACGGCGTGCCTACTTTTACGATCCTATAAGGGGACGTTTTACGGCAGCCTGCAGCGGGTACCCCTTTGAAGAACTCTGGACTTGAAAGCTGTTTGAAACACGGGCCAGCCACTCAAGGTTCCAAGCTTCTCAGACAGCGGGTTGCTTTTGACCATATCAATTCCCTCCGCGAAGCTTGCACACAAATCCACGAAGGGCAACTCGATGTTCTTGCAAGTATTGGCACCCAGCACCTCGATTCGATGATCATTCGCGATGAGCACCTCGCGGCCTTGGGCCACCAGTCGGGAGAGCAGCCAGTTGCCACCCTCGGGGCGCCGCTGCACTCGGATGGCAGCAACGTAAAAGAACGCACGACCCACACAGGCCTAGTTGGACTTCGTGAAAATCTGGTGTGGGGATCTATGTATAGTAGTTTACTCCGTTTACTCCTCTCTCTCTCTCTCTCTTGAAATGCTTCACTTTTTCATTCCAAACTTCGCCTGCCATCCCAAGCTCACATCACTGCCTTTCACCAGCACGCTGCTTTTGCGCAAAGGGCTGGCAGCCAGGTGCAAGGTCCCTCGCGAAACAAGGTTGAGCTGGTCCATCTTCAGCTGCGTCACGTGGTCCTGCGTTCATCGCTGTTTTCGGAGCCCTCCATTGAAGTCCCACACCTGCATCACCCAGAAGCCACCAAGCAGAGTTATATAAGTTATTCTGCATTATTATATACGCCCAGTACCACCCCCAAATTCACCCCCAGCGTCACTCAGGTCCTGCAAGTACAAGTTCTTGGCCAGCAGCACTCCTTTGCTACTTTGCAAAGAGGTAGGTCCAGTCAACGTCATGTCTCCATTTGGACAGGACAGCGTGATCTGGCGCGCTTGCAGCTGCGATGAGTCAATCCGGAAGCCCTGCCAAGGTCTTTCGGATGAGTAGACAGAGCAGGGAAGCTGTGGGACAAGTCAGCAACAGTGCCGACCAAGATCCTTGGATGAGATGTGAGTTAAATTGAAGGGTTTCAAAACATGTCAAGTGTGAATGATCTCAAACCCCAGGACCCAGCAAAGGGCAGTGACCTTTAACCCTGCCTCCCCGCAGCTGCTGTGCTTAACAACAAGATGGTATTTGGCCGATAAATATGCTGAGCTCATGCTCAGCCCTTTCGCCCAAATCCTCGCCTTGGCGCTCCGGCTCCGTTATCCATTATGCAATTGGCTGTGACGAAAAAAACAAGCCTAAGATTGGTCAGGAGCCGAGTGCCCTCATGGCTTTCCACCCTCGAGGGCCATGTTGCACTACATGTTGTAAAAGGATGTTGGCCCAAACCGCTGAAACAATCACAAAATCTTCAACATCCACCTTTGGGAGCAACGCCATACCCGTGTGCATGGGTGCACTGTCCGACAGCGTGATGCACAGCACCGCCCTCCTTCAAAGAAGTCACCCAACCATCGATGATGAGGTTGGACTTTTCCTGAAAGGTGACTTGGCCAGTGATGTTCAGGACGAAGGCTTTCGAGAAGAACTGCTTTTGTCCTTGGTGAGTGGGAACGCTTCCCGGAACGAAGAGTGAGGACACCACAACCCGTTCCTCCAATCTCTGCCTTGGGGCCAGCTGGCACAATGAGATTTCCATCCCAGGTAAGCATAAGGATTGACGATCCAGAGCCCAAGGCAGCTTCAGCATTGTCTTTCAGGATGCAAGTCGTGTTGTCGGGCTGCTCCTGGGAATTGCTCTGCAAGCGAGAAGTCGCAAGGTTACACAGAACACCCCAAGAATTCAAGTGCATGCTAGATCGTCCACACCTATCTATCTATCTATCTATCGATCTATCTATCCATCTATCCATCTATCCATGTATCCATCTATCCGTCTATCCATCCAATTAACTATCTATCTGAGACAGGGGGGAGTTGAGCCAGGGCAGAGTTTCCAGAAGTCGGAAAGACTCTCCTGGCAGAAGACTTGCGATGCAGAAGCTGAGCCAAGAATTCCTAGAGTCGTGGCCAGCCACCCCCGGCCCATGGCTGGGAGCCGTGGTCAAAGCGTCACAGGAAATGAATCCAGGAATGTCCAGAAAACCAACAAGCTAACAGTCAGAGGGTGCAGCTTTGGCACCTCTTGAGTCACACGGCACGGGCGTGGCAAGGGGCATTCGAGGAGACATGGCACGGACGGCACGATTCGAGGATTTAGGGCGTTGGTGTACTTCTCCTTGGTTGCATGAATCTTTCCCCAGCGTCTAGTTTCCGGGATCCTGTCAACAGTACCAAACTTCGGACTAGCGTTCTCCATAACACCGAGCCTTGAATTGAACCAAAAAACCTCTCACTCACATTCGCTTCTAAACTCTTCAACCTCAAAGCACGCACCCACCTGGGCTCCCGCCAAAGTACCTCGCCACCCTGTCAGGCATGGAGACAAACACTCAAGGTTCGTTCGGCACGTTTCGGGAACTGTGCCACAGGTTCGTCGACGTTACATGAACACAATACGAGGTGTTGACACATTCTGCGCCACTGCTAAGGGATCTTGAAGGAATGTTCCGTGAAGGAATTGTTACTGTCCAACCTGTTTGGGAGTGTATGTCTTGTTACCGGACATGAAGATTTCATGGTATTTGGGAAACCTGATGGAAGCCCACGAACCCGAATGCTTTGAGGCACCGAAGCACAGCGAAAGGAGCACGAGCAGTTGTTAAAATGGTTCTCTCTCGTGACACCTCCTGCCAATTCGGCTTGGAGGTAAGTGCAATGAGCGTAAGAGTGTCCTACAAGAATGTCCAACAACAGGGTCCTACATGAGTGTCCACCAAGAGTGTCCCGCACAAGTGTCCCAAGGGCGTCGCACAAAAGAGTGTCCAGCAAGAGTGTCGCGTGAGTGTCCTACATGTGTGTGTGTGTGAGAGACGCGGTGGTGTCATTTAATAAAATATTAGAACACAGGAGTGTCAAGCAAAATTGTCGCACAAGCGTGTCCTGCAAGAGTGTCCTAGAAGAGTGTCACCCTGGAACGTCCTTCAAGATTCAAGAGTGTGCTTGGAGACGTTTAATCAAGAGTGTCAAAAAAAACGGTTGTCATAGGAGTTCCTTCAGTGCCCCAGGAGCCCCTAGTAGCTTTTTTGCTCCTAGTGGTAAGGCCAGGAGCCCCTAGTAGTGTCCTTGCTCCTAGCAGTAAGGCCAGGAGCCCCTAGTAGCGAGGACTTGATACCTCATGATTTCTGATATCTCATGAAGTTAACGCAAGTCCTCTCACTGACGCTCCGAAGCTTCTGTGGCCAGCGTGTTCCAACAATCTCAACTCTGAACAGCGCCTGACTGGGTGCCTTGAAGGAAATCAGGTACAACAGCTCGATCAAAGGCCCTGTCCACGGTCCCAGGGCGAGTGCTTGGACTAAACAGGAGCGAGAAATCATTGCAAACAAGCAAAGACAAAAATATGACAAGGGAAGCTAAGACCTCTTTTAAGGGGAGCTTTAACTGTCCTTAAGACATTCCCTATAAGGCTCGGTGGACCGCTGTTTGGAGGCAACTCGATCCTGACGACTGGGGAGATGAATGGCACTGGCCCCCCTCAGAAACCTTGAACCCCTCATTGGAGGCAGGCCTCCACTCAAGGTCTTGGTTGGCTGCAGGTCCAAGGAGGGCACCTGTCATGACTCATGAATTGTGAACACACCCCGTTTGGACACCAAACAGCACAGAAGTGACGCCCTAGAGTTCCAGGCCGAAGGGCCCCGCCCAACATCATCAAATTGTATGGATAGCTATTGTCAATCGACCCATTCGACCAGACCCTAGTAGCCTCCTTGCTCCTAGTAGCGATGCCAGGAGCCCCTAGTAGCTTCTTGTTACTAGTAGTAGGGCCAGGAGCCCCTAGTAGCGTCCTTGCTCCTAGTAGCTATTGTCAAGAATGCTCACCATATCAAACACACAATCTCAGCCCTCAGGTCGGCAGCACCGTTCGAGAACGAAGACTCCGTTGTGCCCAATCCCTTGGAGTCCTTGCAGAGGCGTGAAACCCTGCACAAGAGAAACAAGAACTCTGTGACTAGTATCATCCCTCCCTTGCCTTCCTTGCCAAGGTCCTTGTCTGTTCTTCAAACATCCTGCCCCTCAATCCCACGCACCCTTTCAAAGCCTGTGAAGCTTCAACTCCGGCAACGCCCTTTTTCCGCCACTCTGTGAGATCAACTCAGCTTCTCGGCCCCTTCAGGTCAGATCGGTCAGGGTCAGCGATCCTGTTTGTTCCTAGTAGCATTCTTGTTCCTAGTAATAAGGCCAGGAGCTACTAGTAGCGTCCTTGCTACTAGTAGCGATGCCCTTTGTTACTAGTAGCTTCGGTCAGGGTCAAGCTTCCAATCGAAATTAAGGAAAACCCAAAGGGCCATAGGGTCCGACAGTTTGACCGTCGGCTCACTCTATACTACTCTATACTCATCTTTCAGTGGGCGCTTTTGGCTTGAAAACTGAAGGTTAGTTCTTGCAACTTTCCACAAGGTCCTGGCACCGACCTTTGACTCGATCCTTGCCGAGGCTGGGACTTATTTGATGCAACACATGCGATGGTCAGAATCCGGTTGGGCAAACCTTCACCCAACTCTCCTGCCCAGGGATCCGGAGTTGTCATCAGGAATTTACGAGTCCATTCTCCACAGGCTCATTTGGACAATTTTGGGTGGAAGAAGAACGGAACCTGTGGCTACTGGCTCCCATATCTTCAATTCATAGGACTTGCTCTGCATCTCTTTCTTCGGTACCCTGCTCGGAGGTGCCAAAAAGGCAATCGAAAACGTTTGCTATTCGCCGACCCTCTCAGAGGGCAATGTTCACGCTGTAGTCACTTTGCTCTTCATCCCCATCTGCACAAAAAGATCCACACAGGGGCGTTGCCAGTGTGGCTTGGGATGCCAGTATACCGTGTCAACTGAGTCGATCATCATGAGCTGTCAACCGAGGCATTACCGCTCCACTGCCCGCTTCGCGCCTTCATTCACAGAGGTCAAGTGGGTGAAACTGCTGCTTGGCTTGGCCTCGCTCGGCCTGGCCATCCGTTCGGACATAATGAATGCATATATATATATATATGATTATTATGAATATATATATATATATGCGTGTGTGTGCATATACGAGTCGCATAGTCTACCATTGCACGAGGCTGGGATTGCCATGTGCACCATGCGCATGGTTGGAACAAACCTTGCGTTCAGCTCGTGAGCTAACATCGATTTCAATCCAACGGCTGGTCCTACAGACCAAACGACTCAATCCATGCGCGCCCATGTTTTCTCTTACATTGTGCAGTCTGTTGCCGCACCCCTCTGTCGCGGCAAGAGATACACACGCGTGACATGTGCAGCAACCCACTAACCCGCAAACGGCATTCACCTTGAACACAAGGCTGGCCAGGGCTGAGGCTAAAACTAGAAAAGCACCGCACCGACGGTATGCGGAGAGTAGCAATGCCCATGGTGCTCACATGCCGCTGGGATCAGGCTGCTTAAAGTCCACATCCTCTGCCAGCTGGAACCTAGCAGCTGCTTCCTGACTGAAAGCGCCACGAAATGATGGCCACACATCCTGGCTCCATGAGAGCAGCATAGACTAAGTCAAGGCACATCCAAATGAGATTGCTGCGGTTGCCAATGCCTGTTTGGAGGACTTGGTCAGAAACTTGCTATAGTATACTGCAAAAAAGAACACCTACCTTCTTGCAAAGACATAGCCTGTAGAGTTATACAACGTAGGAAAATACTGTGTCTAGGTAAGGCTCTTGCGACTGTGAGCCAGTAGCTGACTGAGTGCAGCCTGGTTGTCAAACTTGGTGCCCATCTCAAGCTCTCTGTGATCAACAGCTGTTGCGAGTACGGCCGCGGGGGGAGGGCCTGCCATGGCTCACAGCTATCCAAGGCATCCAGACATGCGAAGCACTAGGCCATTAGGACATTAGGCCTTCTTCTCTTTGAGCTCCACTTGCTCCCCAATGGCAGGAGCCATCCCTATGAGCTCCTTGGGTCGATTGCTGCAAACGTACTATGTTGTGCAGCAAGCTCTTTTGCCAGGACACGTTGAGAAGGGCGCGGTTGCTGCAGAACTCTTCGTTGTCGTTGTACCGAGCCCCCACAGAAAGCATCTGCAGAACCCCAGCTTGGCCCTTGTCAAAGCCATAACGTGGCAGGACCTGTCCAAAAAAGGTGTACTGCTGCAAAAATAATCTCCGAAGCGCTTCCTGATCACTCAAGCGGCATGCAGTTTGTCCTGTTTAAGACAACCGTGGTGGCTTCTTGCAGCCCCTCACGAGCGAGGGGATGCGAGGGGTGCCCACTTCCCTGATCTTCCCTGTGTGATTCGTTTACGGGGGTGCCTGGCCTTATTCTGCACGGTCAGAAAAAGCTTTGTGTGATCATCTGTGTAATTTCTGTAGGCCTTGCCGTGGATAGCCTCCAATTCTCGCAGCGCCTGGCATCGCAGCACAAGCACCAGGTACACAGGTTCAAAGTTCGGCTACCACATCCATCACAATTCAGCACCTCCTGGAATTCAGGCTCTGAGAAGCCATCATACAGCTCAGCCTGGCTCGGGATCCATGAAAACGACCAAGCAAAGGACAATCCACAGGGAATGCAAGGCTTGAAAAACTCAATCCGGAAATCCTGATTCCAGAAACCGCTAAACAGCCACTCACGGAAAAATCGGGACACCTGTAGGTCCAAAACCTCCTGCAATGTGAGGTCGGGGGATGACGACATGGATTCTGGATGCTACAGTCAATAGGGAACGTACTAGGCTGTATGCATTCGAACTCCTTGACTCCATGTCCAACTCCTCGACTCAATGTCATATGATTACTCCATGATTTCTATGGTGTGCTATTCAACTTCTGTCTTTCTAGCGTCTTGCTTCACCTCTTGGGCCAAATTCGGTTCGCATTCACACGTGCCAAAGACGGTTGGTTGACTTGGGATGGTCAACGGATCTTCACCATGGTCGAGCAACGGGCACCTGATTTGCATGTGGATGTTGCTCTCATCAAGCCTCAGAACATCAAAGGGTGTGCCTGGCCTGAGGGGGGTCAAACTGTTTTCCAAGAAGTGGCGCTATGGCTCAACCAAGCAGCTTTCTGGCCAATATGAATGCGCTACGCTCGCAGCTGACCATATCTTCCTCTGAGCTCATATGACTCATCTCGCCGTTGGAATCCCGCCGAAGCACCTCACTCAAAAGCTGGGCGGCTGATTGCCCTTTCAGGGGAACAGGGGCATCCCTGGAAAATTTGTCGTCAAACCAAACCACTTAGCGAATATGCTGCAGGCGCTCTGGGCCATCATGACACCGGTGGTGGGGCCAGAAAATCGGATCGAGACATCTCTGCACCGTGAACAACGGGAACCAGTTCGACCTTGTCATACTCTTTATCAAGTTCCTCCTTCATCTCGCGTTTTGCCACACTCCTGCATGCCAACGCGCTTTCGGAACCGTTTGCCGAGTCAATCATCCAAAATGAACCACCTCTGAAATAGTTTGCTGGATTTTTTGCACGGATTGATTTCCTGATATGTACGAGCTGTCCTGGCCGCACTGTCCCCCGACGAGCGAGAACCAGTGGATCCCTCCGACCTGGTTGCAGGGTCTACAAACTAACCACCAGTGAATGCAAACCTAAAGTCAGGCATGGTCATCCTTCTCTGGTGCCAGCTACTTTGCTTTGGCGCTTCCGGTCTAGCAGCAGCCTGCCAATGCCGCCCACAAGAAGGCTGAAGGTCTTGTTGCCCTTGAATGCTCGTTGCAGGGCCTGGCCACAAACAGCACCCATGAAATTGTGGTCTTTTGGGTCCTTGCATTCCAGCCTGTGCGTCCGCATAGCCTGAGTTCACGCACCAAAGTTCCACACGGAGGGCCAAATTAAGCATCTTCGGCAGCTACGAAAATTACAAAATGTTGATCAAAAAGTGTTCAACACAGGTGGTGTGTGTGTGTAACCCTTGGAATCAGAGGGAACCGTAAGGTGTGGAACAGGGGGCGTGAAAGCTATGGAAATCGACTGGAAGGAAGTTTGGACGCAAACTTCCGTACCTGTTCCCTTTTTAGGAAAACAGGAGGAAATGGTACTCGACACACTTGTGTGTCGGTGCCTTTCCTTCTGTTTTCCTCTAAGGCTACCCTATAGGTTG